TGAATGTACTTTAGTGCCTGTACTTGCGAATATGGTGAAGAAAATCATGACTGAAATGTTTATCAACTTATGGTTACTCGGCATTTTCCAAGGCACAAAACATGCAACTGTTAACTTGTGGGAGAGACCCCAGTCATGCATGGCAACACAGAAGAATGCACTGTATTCTCAAAACATGCAGGGATTATACGGATCTTCTATTGAGCGAAAGAAACCAAAATCAAAAATAGATACATTGCATTGTTCCATATGTATGACTTTTATAAATTGACGGTGGGGGGCATGAAGTATGGTTCTCTCTGGGGTGGGTAGGTATTGACTGACAAGGGACACGAGAGAACTTCTGGTGTGCATATTATTATCTCTGCAAGTCTGTCTACATAAGATAGGTAGGATAAACAATCTGGAGGAGAAAACAACGGGACCTACAATTCCAGGTTGGGGGGGGGGTCTGGGAGAGGGGGAGGTGGGGGCAAGGAAGTGGTTTTAACCAACCCAGGGACAAAGGAGCAACAAGTGATCCAAAATAAGTGGCGAGGAAGGTTTAAGAGGCCTGGTAGGGCTTGATCAATGGCAATGTAAACGAGTAGAATTACTGAAACCCAGATGAAGGCTGAGCATGATAGTGGGACAAGAGGACAGTAAAAGGAAATAGAGGAAAGACTAGGAGGCAAAGGACATTTATAGAGGTCTAAATATTGGTCATGTGTAACTATATTTATATATGAGGATGGGGAAATAGATCTATGTGCATATATTTATAGGTTTAGTATTAAGGTAGCAGATGGACAATGGGCCTCCACTCAAGTACTCCCTCAATGCAAGAACACTTTGTCCTATTAAACTGACATTCCATGATGCTCACCTTCCCGACATGATTGCTGAAGACAAAAGCGGGTGAATAAGCAAATGTGGTGAAGAAAGCTGATAGTGGCTGGCTATCAAAAGATATAATGTCTGGGGTCTTAAAAGCTTGAAGATAAATAAGCGGATATTTAGCTGGGAAGCAACTAAGCCCACATGGAAGAAGCACACCAGCCTGTGTGACCATGAGGTGTCGATGGGATCAGGTACCAGACATCAAAGAACAAAAAATCATATCATCGTGAATGAGGGATAGTGCAGAGTGGGGATTCAAAGTGCATCTGTAGGCAACTGGACATCCCCTTACAGAGCAACGATGAAACATACAACTTTCCTCTAGTTCTTAAATGCTTCCTCCCCCCACTATCATGATCCCAATTCTGCCTTACAAATCTGGCTAGACCAGAGGATGTACACTGGTACAGATAGGAACTGGAAACACAGGGAATCCAGGACAGATGAACCTCTCAGGACCTGGGGTGAGAGTGGCGATACTGGGAGGGTGGAGGGAAGGTGGGGTAGAAAGGAGGAACCGATTACAAGGATCTACATATAACTGCCTAACTGCCTCCCTGGCAGGGGGACAACAGAAAAGTGAGTGAAGGGAGACGTCTGACAGTGTAAGACATGACAAAATAATAATTATTTATAAATGATCAAGGGTTCATGAGGTAGGAGGGCGGGGAGGGAGGGAAAAAATGAGGAGCTGATACCAAGGGCACAAGTAGAGAGCAAATGTTTTGAGAATGAGGATGGCAACAAATGTACAAATGTGCTTGGCACAATGGATGTATGGATGGATTGTGATAAGAGTTGTACGAGCCCCCAATAAAATGATTTTTAAAGAAAGAATTGTTCCTCTCGGTCCCAGTCAAATAGACACATAGAATCCTAAATTGGTTACTGCCAATTCGTGGCGACCGTGTGCGCGTCAGAGTAGAACAGAACTGCTTCATCGAGTCTGTAGGCACCAGGACAGGCTCTTTTTAAGAAGATTTAGCTACAATCGTATCTCTCCGTTGGATTTGGAGCCTTCCACAGTAAAATGTTCCCAGCAGCTCTCCCCGTGACCCTCCCACCATCTCCCCTGTCCTTTCAGCACTTTGTCAGGCTCCACAGGCACTGCCTTCCTTTGTGGGAGCAGCCTGCATTTGAACTCAGGAAATGTCTTTTCTGGTGTGCTTCCAACACTGACCTTTTTCTGGCCTACTGCATGCACTTACATAATATTTTTGATATCCTGTTTGCTGCATCCTAATTGGTAGTTCAGAATCCATCATCTTTTAAGTAAGTTTATGTCTCTGCATCTCTCCCTTTTTGAACAGGAAAATACCTATCTTTAACTGCTCCACAATGGAGGCCATCTGTCATGTTATCCTACTTTTGTAGAACACTCCTTCTGGTTCATTCTTGTTGAATTGTCTTTTTATTCCTAGAAGACCTGAGCATCCCCTGTGAATATGAGACGTTTACATTAATAAAGACTAATTTCATTTTCATTCTTATGGAAGAGTCTGTACTCTTCCAAACATGGTAGGATGGTCCTTAGAATATTTCTGATCTGTGATCAACAATGCGCTTGGCTTCTTTGTGGTGTTAGGAGTTGGCTCTTGTCTTTGTGGTGTTAGGAGTGGGCTCTTGTCAATGGTATTGTGAAAACCTAAATAAATGTCAACTGGTTTCCCATTATTCATGTGTTTAGTCTATCGCTGAAATAAATTTAACTGACAGGTCACGCATGAGTCCCTCATTTAAAAACCATCCTATGATTTTAACATAGTAATAATTTCTGTGACAAGCCCATCACTTATTATAAATGCTCTGCTACACGCTCACTTCTCCCCACCCACCCTGTCACATTCCCACCTTCTTACAGGAGTCCCTGTAGCAATTCTGCCTTTTTAATTACTGCTCATATATTTTGACAAACATTTTCTAACTTTACCTTCAGACTTCTTCAAATCAAAGACAAATGTCATCCTGACTGAATGATGAGATCGGTGCACCTGGTTTTGTCAGCTAAATCAAATTAATATGAAACCTCTAAAAGCATATCCATGGGGGAAGCGGTGGTTCCGAGGTAGAGCCCTCCCCAGCCCCTCCCGGTGGAAGGCCTTGGTTCCCAGCCAATGCTTTCCACACCCACCTGTAAGTGGAAGCTTGTGTGTTGCTACAATGCTGAGTAGGTTTCGGTTCAGCTTTCAAATGAAGACAGACTGTGGAGAAAGGCTTAACAATCTCCTTCTAAAAACCAGCCAGTGGAAACCATACAGATCACAATGTTCAGATCATTACCAAAAACATATCCATGCTATAGATAATACAGTCTGAGATCAGAGGAGGGAATTGTATCAGAGCTTACATTCAGCTCACTTGATTTGCAGGGTGCTATGGATGACAGTGAAACCCCAAATCCATTTGTAGAGCAACCACAGATTAAGCCTCCATTGAATCCCCACAGACCATTGACCAAGGATGTGAATAGTTTCGCCCTTAGACAGAGTGCAGTGGAAAGTGAATTACTAACGAGGCAACATATTAACATATTATCAATTGTTTTTACTTTTGGGCCATTTTAAATCTGTTCAGGTATCTCTTATCTCTACTTTCTCTCAGATTGAGGTTTTCTGTATTTTATTTTGTTGTTGTTGTTGTTGTTAGTTTTTTAGTGTGTGGTTTTCTTTATATGAAATCCAGGATAGGTCCATTTCAAGAGATGGTAACTAGATTACGAGTTCCTTAGGGCCACGGCAGGAGCGGTAGGGGTTACTGAGGAACAAATCATAATGCGCACAGGACTGGAGGAAATGTTCTACAATTGTGGTGATGACTGCATGACTCCGTTTACTATATCTAAACCATTGAATTGTATGGTATGTGGATGATATTCAATAAAACTGCTAAAATAAAATAAATGCAATAGAAAAAAATCTCCATCAATCATGTAGCCCGAGATTCCATTTTCCAAGTGTTAAGACGTCAAGGCAAGATCCTAGTTGAATGTGCTCAGATAATCCGGGGTTTGCACTGATCTCGCCACGGTGTGAACACCCTGACCTCCGCTCCTGCCTCCTTGTCTGCCTCGGCCGTGTTCCCCACACGAACACTGTCTCCTTCCTCCTGAACAGTCTGTGCTCATGCTCAGCAGTGCTACTTTTAAAATAATTTTTACATCTTGTTTTCTCAACTTGAGGGGAAGCTACTTAGGGTGGAGAGCATGTCTCCCCCCTCTTTAAAACCCTCTCACTCAACAATCGATGCTTGCAAATGCTAGCCACATGTCCTAATCATTATGCTATCTACTGTGTTTGTCCACGCACTCTCTGTGCTGTACAAGAGCTCCTGGTGTGCTGCGTCTGAATCAGGCAATAACGCACTCATTAGCGAGTGTGAACAATGCCTCGTTATGACCCACGTCTCAGGAAATGCAGTTAAGATTTCCAGGCACCCCGCCTTCACTTTCCCCCTGAAATCTTATGCTTACTAGATTGTCTGTCCTGACTTCTCCTCCTCAGATTTCTAAGGAGGGTCGGGGAAGGGAGACACACACAGGGGAAATCAGGAGAATGTCGGCGCTTCAGCACAAGAGAGGCAGCCCACTTTCCCTTCCCAGTCAATAGTGAAGAAAAGAGGAAAAGCCCACCCACTGAGGACAAACCCCTTTAGCGACTACATTTACCCACAGAAGAGCCACTCAACTCAAAAACCAGGTCCCCCCCCCCCCAAAAAAAAAAACAGGCCCAATCCTTTTTTTTTTTTAATTGGCAAATTGACGGCAGTACAATGTTAAGGACACGTTCTCACGACCGACCCGGGGATGTCTAGGGAGGGCATATTGAGGGACAGAGGCTAAAATCCTCAGAATCCATTGGGAATATGCCCAGGAAAAGTAAGGCCCTGATAGTTGAAGAGGCACAATGTGCTCGCAGCCAGCCCAGGAAATGAGTCATCCCTGGCAGAACCTGTCACAGCACAAGCAGCCTGTCCGCCCACAAGAGACAGACTTCAAAGGGAGGAGGGGCAGCCATGGTTACACAGGTGAGCCCAGACCAGGGCAGGGAAGGCAGGGAAGGAGACTCCAGGGGAGGGAGAAGTGGAAGCCTCCCAAGTGCGGGCTCAGGAGCCACCTGCCGCTGCTACTGCTCACTGCCAGGCTCCTCATAGTCGCTGTCTTCCCCCAGGGGAAATTCCTTTGTGGGCTTCTGGGTTGCATATATCCGGGTTTCCATGGGGCAGTCCTGGCTCAGAATTGCCTGCAAAGAGAGGCAGGAAGAGAAAACACTGCGATTCTTCTGGTCTCCCCTCTTCGAGTCCCCACTTGCTCACGAAGCAAGCGCTGGACCCTCTGTCTACGTAATGGACACCCAACAACCCATCCCAGCTTCCTAAACCCCTGTGAGGACAATCAGCTGAGAAGGTGTTAATTGAGTCCTCACAATGCAAGTTAGAGTAGAGGGACACCTGCCTTAGTACCCTTCCCATCTGACGTTCTTGTCTTCTCTATCCCCAAACCAGCCTGGTCCTTGGGGGCTCATGCTATGGGAAGTGGAAGGTACGCTATTAACTAACATCATGCATTACTGTTTGATCTTGGGTGGTTTTGTGTTTGTTGGTTTGGTTTGGGTTTTTCTTTGTTTTTGTTTGTACAGGATGACCTGGTCAGGATATTGCCAGGTGTGAACGAATGAAGTAAAATTCTACCCGTTTGAAGGAGACATCATTTGGTAATTCTCCATTGCTGGAAACTGCAGCAATTACAGGATGGTTTTGGTGGTCCCTGCCCCAAGCTCTTTATGAACTTGCCATTTTCCTGCTCTAAATAATGTCCTTTCTTAAAGCCCCAGTGTAAGGGAGCAGGCAGTTTTGTAGGGGGCGGGGGTGGAGAAAGGTAGAAAGAAAAGATACAGATGAAACAGGGATCCGAACATATGGTGAAGTAGCTAGACTATCGATAGAGGGAGAAGTAAGAATGACAGATGGAAAAGGATGAGAGAGGCAATGAAAAGAAACAGAGGAGTATATATTTTGGGAGGGGCGGGAGTGGGAGCCCCTTACGAGCTTTTCCTCCTTGGCTGGGGGACTCCGGAGGTAGTAGCAGAGAGGCGCGTAGAGGATGTTCACAACCCCAATGATGACCATGAGCCAGGGAAAGCCGACGGCCCGCACAATGGCACCCCCAGTGGACGGGCCTATGAAGAGGAAATCAGACTGGCCAGTGTTTCTTCAGCACAGATGACACATGTAGGACATTCTCCCAAAGCGTGCCCCAAGTCAACTACCCCCAAAACCTTAGGGCGATCAGCCTTCTAACGCCACATCCAACTAACACAAACCAGGACTAGTCCCATGTCCCCATCACCCCCCCAACATACCTACTGCAAAGCCCATGCAGAAAGCCACATCAGCAATGGCATAGACACTCCCATAGACAGAGGTGTGACGCAGGTCTACCAGGTGTCCCATGATGGGCATCATAGAAGAATCCACCATGCCTGTGGTCAGAGCAAACAGAACCTTGTCAGACTTCAGTACTCACAGCCCCCTCTCCTCCTGCTTCATTCACTCTATGTCTTTACCTGTCCCTCTCAGCAAGGACACCCGTTTCCTGGGGGAACTACAGGCCCATCTCCCCACATGTTCGCCAGCCACACTCCTGCATCTTCTATTTTCCCCCCACCTGCTCAGATGGGGAAAGGTGGAGGAATGCATCTGACCTCAGACCTTTGTTTTCCTAAGGGCACTGCTTACCTATGGCAAAGCCAAGCCCTGCAACGGGGCCAATGAGGCCAACAATATTGTGAGCCAGAGGAACCTGCAGGGAGGAGAAGGAAGCTATCAGAAGTCCAGGTGGGTCATTGTGGGAGAAGCGCTCAAATGACTCTCACAGGAACTGTTAGTAGGCACTGGCTATGTACCGCATGCATTGTCTCTTGAAGTGTCACACCTCCCCTACAGAGAAGCATCTTCTCTTTCCTTTTAAATTTATAAAACTAAGATTGGTAACGTTTGGGTGGAAATCCTAGGATAAGGTTTAACCCTCAGCGTCAGCTCCATGGTACCACAGACGGGGTCATTTTATGGGAAATGGTGATTGTGCCCCTTTCTCAGTCCACACCTCAAAACACAAGCATGCTCTGTTGTTCTCAGTCTTCACGAGTGGAGTTGATTCTCTCCATCAACAGCCTCCAAATGATCTATTTAAAGCCCTAATGTCATTGCTGTTGGAACAAGAAGATGGCAGAGAACAGAGGCCAACAACCAATTATCCATTAGGTGGAGGCACTAGCATCATTGTCTGGATGGCATGGCACACACACACACACACACACACACACACCTGTGAAACTCATTCTCGTTTTCCTCCCAGGCCCATACTGGGAGCTTTTTTCCCATGCTCCCTGGGCGTCTGTCCCTTCTGCCACCCAACACACTCAGTGAGTCTTTGCCCTCTTCTGGGAATCATCAGCCCTCACTGGTTGTACATATTATTTAGATGTTGGTGACTAATGAACATTCCAAGTGTGATTTTTCTCAAGGGCTGTTTATATTTTGTCAATAATGTTGTCTAAAATCCACTGAGGATTCAAGGTTTACAAGGATTATCTTAATAATGTCCCAGGCATGGATCTCAAGATTTATAAGGATCATCTTAAGAGCTCTTTGAGACAGGTGAGATTAGAATCCTCTCTATACCAGTAAGGATACTAAAGATCAAAGAGGAGAAAGAAAAGGCTCAGATATCTTTAAGGAGGGTTTTTTAAATGAAAACTCCCTTCTTTCTTCTTCTCCTAAACACTCTGAAGTTAGGGACTCGGGCACAGATCCTCTGGTGGGTCCCTGGTGATTTATGGGGCACTAGCAGGGTGGGAGGAGCCTTGGTGGTGTAGTTGTTACAAATTAGGTTGTGATCCTTAAGGTGAGTGGTCGGAAACCAAAAGCCAATCAGAGGGAGAAAGCTGGGGCTGTCTACTTCTGTAAAGTGTGACAGTCTCAGAAACTCACAGGGGCAGTTCAACCCTGTCTTATGGTCGCTGTGAGTCAGTATCAACTTGATGGCATTGAATTGGTTGGGTGTTTTTTGTTTTGTTTTGGCATCGGTGGTGAGGTATTTGGATAGATAACTGAAAGGCTAGCAGTTCAAACGTACCAGCCCCTTTTCAGGATAAAGATGAAGTAAAGCAGTCAGCTTCCATAAAGATGTACAGACTCAAAAACCCTATGGAGCAATTCTACTCTGGCCTATCTGTAGGGTCACTACTAGTCAGTATCGGCTGCAGGTCAGAAGGTTGGTTTGGTTGGTTGGTTGGTTGGTTGGTTGGTTGGTTGGTTGGTTGGTTGGTTGGTTGGTTGGTTGGTTGGTTTGGTTTGGAGATGAGTAAATGAAGTCTTACCATGCACGGTATTGCTGACTCCAGAAGCAGATACCATCACATGTTACTTCTCAGAGCTCTGACTCCAATAAGCCCTTTCACCCAGTCTTTCTCCTCCTCCTCTTCCTCCCGCTCCTCCTCCTCCTCTTCTCAAATAGGTACCAATTTCAACCATTAGCATCTACCTAGATACTAACTCCAATCCAAACAGAAATGGTCTTTCTGAAAGTCATTTGCAAGTCAATCCTTTACGCATTTAAAACAAAGTGGTTCTTACGTGGCTCTCTTTCCCTCTTTTCATTCAACTCGTCTTTTTGATACTTACACAGAGCAAGCTGGCGCCTACAACCACCATCCCAACCAGAGAGCACAGCCACCTGGAGGGAAAAACCACCATCAGGTAATGATGCGGGAGGCATCCCTCCACCTGTCCGCCCCGCCTCACCCCACCCCCACCCATCACCATTGACAATGCTCAGTCCTATCACCCATTACTCAACAAAGCCCTTAAGAAAAGACAATTTCATCTCTACATGGCCAGGCTGTATCTATGTCTACTCTTTCCCTCCCTTTTCTTTCCCCTCATCTCTTCCTTGGCCCCATATCTCTTCTTAAAGTATATAAAGGAGCGATACAATCCTTTTTTGCCTCAGAACATGAATCAGCTGACCCAAAAGTACTTGACCCCTGGGAGTAGCTCCCCAAATTTAATCCATGCTGTTTTCCAGTTCAGACTATGTTCTCTTGGTGCTATGCCCAACCGATTCATGTTTTACTTTCTTCAAGGTCCATGTCAAGACCCATAAGTGGGCAAGCTTCTTCCCTTCGCTGACCTTCTAGCAGTAGTTTTTAACTTAAAGAAGAAGAATAAAGGAAAGAACCTCACAGATTAAAATAAAATTCTTTGATTCTAGTAAAGAAATAGAATCCAGATGTAGCGCCAGCCCCCAATCTTTCCCTTGGTAGCCTCTGAGGTATTTCTGTGCAGTCCTTAAGGGCTCCAGGGAATGGTTTGAAAATGACTCCCCTGACTCCCCAACACACATCTCTGACATGTACAGGGATGGATCTTTGGTTTTGCCCATCCTCCCCCCATGCATGTTCCCTATGAAGTGATCTTACATCTCTTACTGTACAGAAAACTCCTGGAGTTTAAAAAAAAAAGTTTCCTCAACTTCTACTGCCTCCTAATCAGCTCAGGACAATCCTTTCTCTCTACTGCCTTTGCTGTCTACCCAGTGTGCTATTTGACTATCAGTGTGCACTTGTCCTAAACTTTCAGTTTCCAAGAAGCTGTTCCTCATGCTAGCTTCAGGGATGCCCTCCAAGCCCTCCTCTGGTTCCCCAGGCTACATACCGGCCCATCTTGTTAGCCAACACACCAAAGAGATTGGTACCAATGAGGTAGGACAGACTGCCAGGCAAGAAAGCCAGACCTGTAGAAGGACACAGACATGCACAGGTTATATTTATGACCCCTTATCAGCTAAAAGACAGGGAAGCTCCTACGTTACCTTCAATGGTCCCAACCCACATTTCTTTACTGGTTTTGTTATGTTGGGCCAACCCAAAGCAATTATCACAAGGACCTACACCTCTGCTTTCCCTAAAGTTAAGACCTTATTCAGCTTCAGTGCAGTTAGTATGCTTCTGGTTTCCCTGAAGCTTCCTGATGAATGGTTCGAATGAGTCATTCTCACATATAGTATACCCTTGATTATCGGCGAAGGAGCGTGAGCTTTAGAGAAAGATATACCTCCTGGAATCTGCCCTCCTAGTTACCAGCTCTGTGACCTTCCTTTCAATAAGTCACTAAATCATTCTGAGTTTGGGTTTCCACATCTGGGAAAAACAAAGTTATTATTAATGCCATATCAGGTTAAAATGAGGAGCAATGGAGTGGCGCAGCAGAAGCATGCAACACTCATAAACCAGAGGTTGATGAACAGAAACCATCCGTGTGTGTGTGTGTGTGTGTGTGTGTGTGTGTGTGTGTAAAGCTTTTCATTAATTTAGTCTCTGGCTACATTTTGTTTGGTTTTATAACATCAACGTATTTTAGATACATGGGCTTTGGAGTTACATAGTTCTGGGTTCAAATAGCAATTTAGCTACTTGTGAATGTGTGGTTTGTCAATTATCTTCTCTGAATCTCATTGATTTATTCGCTCATTCATTCATATACTCATCCATCCATTTATCCATCCATCCATCCATGCATCCATTCTACAAAACTTTTACCATGTGTTATATGTCTGTGAACTAGGAATAAAGGGGAGATAAAACAGATAAGATCTTACGAGTTTACATTCCAGGGGATTGAGACAAACAATAAGCAAATAGACAAATAAATGGAAGGGATAATCTTGAAAAATTGTAAGTTCTGTGAATGGAATTTAACATGATGCTTTGACAGAATGGCTGGGCAGAAGGGCTGGCTGCCTTAGACTTGGTAGGAGGTCATTCTGAAAAGGTAATAGTTAAGAGAAGACTTTAATGGACAGAATTTCAAACACAAAAAAACAGTTGGTGCAAATGTAGAGACCTTAACGATGAAAGTGGTGAGTCTTTTCTTATGTGAAGGAAGGATGCCTGTGTGGCTTAAGCAAAATGAACAAAGTGCGGGGTGGTAGAAGATGAAGATCCCAGAGAAAAATGGGGAATTACTCCATGTGCAATGGGATGTTTGCAGGGGGCTGACTTATATGTTAAGAAGAATGGATTCCAGGTCAAGACTGGAAGCGAAGGGGTCATTTGCAAAATACAGAAAAGTGATCGTTCCTCAGTTAGGAGTCGTATGGAGAGATGTGGATCAAATGATAGATGTTTGGAAGATAAACAAAATTAATTTTTAAAGCCTCAAATTCACTGCTATTGAGTCAATTACAACTCATAGAACCCCCACAGGACAGAAAAGAAATACCCTTGTAATTCTTTACTAGAAACCCTCATCTGTCTCCTCAGGAGAGGCTGGCAATTTCCACCTGCTGACCTTGCATTCATTCAGCACCACAAAGCATAGTCCACTCTGCCCTAGGAATAGATCCCGGTAAAGATGCACTGTCTCAGGTGGCCTTCATAGCCGTGAGTTTGGGAGGTAGAGTTAGGGAAGCTTTCTGTTGGATTGGGTATGTGCAGATATAGTGAGCATGTAGAAAATTGAATAGAAAAAGGTAATTCTTATGTGTTTTTCTTGGTTGAACAAATAGCTGAGGCGATACATACATGTGTGTATATATTTATGTGTATTTATTTACATTTACATTTATATGTGTGTGGAAAGGAGGAAGAGAAACGAGTTTGAGTGCAATATGATAGGACTGAAATGTCGATTACATATGAAGGAGAGGTTGGAACTGTCAGTCAGTTGGATAAACAAGTTTAGAAGTTTAAGGAGAGGCCACAGGAATGTAAATTTGAGATTCGCTGGGTGATATGTGGTTCTTAAAGTCATGGGAATGGATGGGGTCATCTAGAAGAGATCCTATATTACCTTGGGAGTTTCCAAAAGATGAAAATTAATAATCATGACAAGGAACAGTCCAAGAAGTAGGTGAGAAGGGATGACATTCAGATGGCAAAGAAGGGTTGGCCCTTGTTAGGAGCTGAGCTGTATCAACCATAACGAGTTAAGGCAAGGGAGGAGTCAGTGAACGTGGGTGCAAGTACATGGAATAAAGTCATGGGGAAATGTGTGTTCCTTTGTTTTCTCAATGAAGCTGAGACAAAGGCAGCATAATGATGACGGTAAAGGTGTGAGATGGCACAGGAGGACGACATTGAAAAGAAATGTGATGCGGTCCTTTGGGAGAAAGGGAAAGCGAATGAAGAATAGAAGGGATGTTGGGTAGTGTGAACACTCACTTTCAGTATGTGACCGTACAGGTAATGTGAGGCCAACAGGCTGATTGTGTTTTCCTACAACTCCATTCAGCTGCTCAAGTATGACCAGCACCACCAGATAGGTTTGACCAGGGTTAAAAATTTCCCAGGTGACCACACCCGAGGGAGGGGGAGGCAAAGGAAGCTAACAATGCTTACAAAGGAGTGAGCTGAATGATGGACCATGAATTCCAAGGCCAGTGAAGAGATCACTGAGGACACGAGCAGTGACAGAAATAGAAAAACAAATGGAGCCAATATGCTGGTGATCTCAGTATGACCAAAAATGATCGATATGAGGAATTAGAATAGTTCTTGTGCAGGAAACATGTAAGGTGATAACTAGACTGCTTAAAATTGGTATTTCAGCAGAGGTGACAAATTAAAGGTGATAGAGAAGTCAAGGCTATGACCATAGAATTGATTGGAGGATATCGGGAAGAATAAAAGACTATTGCAAGAAAGTAGATTAAGGAAGTGTACAGCCCAAATGCTCCTCGTGCCATTCAACTAGACAGTGAAGGCTCCGGAATGGTGAGAGAAACAGAGGGAAAAGGATGACATAAGTCACGTGATGACACCTTAATGAACGAGGAGGAATAAGCCAGAGGTTGGTAGAAGATTACAATGAGGAGGGGTGGGCAAGAGGGGTTGGGGGCTAATAATCAAATGGCATGACCATCCTACGAGTCGGAATCTGAGGAAGGGAGCAGAGAAGAAATGCTGCCGAAGCAGCAATAGCGAGCCAAGGGCAGAGGACCAAGGGACGTGCATGCCTCAGGAGGGCTCCCTTGTGAAACATTCTGGTGTCACGGCAAAAAACGTGGAGTACTCGGCGAAGAGCATGCCGTCACTTGTTGATAAGGACAAGGAGGTCCGAGAGTTTGGATCTGAACGGACAATGGGAGACTTTCAGATGAAGAAGCCTATGGAAGATGAGGATTATAATCACCCTGACAGGGTGGGGGTGCGGTGGGGGCTGGCTGTGGGGATTAGATGAGATCAAGCACATTGCACCATGCCTGGCACCGGGCGGCTGCCATGTGAAAACTGCCCTGGATTATTTTCACCATCACTGGTGGCTGACAGTGGCTTGAATCCAGACCTCATTATCCCAAAGCCAAGTGCTTTCCATGACCCACGGGGTGAGTCTGGTGGCATTAAAGGCTCTGGCATAGGAACTGCTTGGCATCAGCTCCGTGAGTGTGTTTGGGTCTCACCCACCCTTTCCGTGCCTCACTGTGCCTAGAGGAAGCTACGCTGCCTGACATAAACAATCATGACTAAAACTATCAAACCAAAAGCAAATAACTCGCCAGTCACTGGCTGATGGCTTGTTTGTTTTTAATATTCTCTTCTACTGAGTGGAACGGAAGTATACCCTAGGGTGTTTGCCTAGTTTGTCAGGATGCGGTAACAATCTGTCTCAACCTGGACACGTTGGTTTCTGGTCAATTGCTTTTACAAAGTCTAGAGACTGTGATAACTTGACTATTGCTGTGGTGTTTGGAATTGGACATAGCATCCTAGGCTCCTCCCCGCTTTAAGGCATGTGGGATTTCCTGAAGGAGCTTTTCTTTAATCCACGTGGTTGGTTCTTGAGTGCTGGTTATGGCTCAGCCGCATTTTGGTGGCATTGTATATAAAATAGGTGCCCTGACTGTGTGTCTATAGATACATACTTTTCCCTCCACAGCATATCTCAAAGAGGTAAAGCATTGCACATAGCTTGTATTGAAATGATGTAAGCAAAAGTAATTATGAAAATAGGAACAAGAGCTATTTGTATTAGCTATCTCTGCCCTCTAGTCCTGGCGCTGTGCTGATTCCTTTAGGATACAGAGATCTGATCCTCAAAACAGCTCTAGAAAGTGTTTCCAGCTTTACCGAAAACAAAGTGCACCCAAAGATGTTAAATTATTTTTCCAAGGCCTCAACCAGCAAGTGGCTCAGTCAAGATTTAACATCATGTTGACCTGTTTCCAAAGCCTAAGCTGTTTTCCTGTGCTCGGGCCACACAGTATTCAACCAAACCATATATCACTCTCAAAAGCCTCCTTGCCTTTGCTCCTTCCAATAACCTTGAGAGGCGTTCCTTTGGAGCATGGCTTCCCAAGTGTGGTCACCTAACCAGTCAGAGCAGCATCATTCACTGATAGGACCCAAAAACGTTGTAAAAGACGTCAGAGACCAAGACTTCAGCCTAGTGTTCTGATTTGATATCATAAAGCCCTTTCTTCAGTAACCTCAATCTGAGGCCCAGGTCACTGCTGTGAATCTGGGTAATGTCTGACACGATGGCTGAGAGTGGCCATTCTCTACTCTGTGGTTGCCCATCTGCACCAAGTGCCTCTGTGTCCAGGGCCTTGTGGACAGAGGCTGTGTGCAGGCAGAGGCACTGAACACTGGCTAATTCAATTAATCACCATGGTCAGAGAAAGCTGCAGCCGAGGAAAATTCAATTTGGGGCTGGGAGAGCAACTGGGAGCCTTGCTTAGAATGGTCCCCTAGAAAATTAGATTTAGTGCTTTGTATTGCATGCTGAGCTATATTTGTTCCTTATCAGCTCCCCCTCCGGCCTCATAAACCTGTCTTTCCAGCAGTGACTGGGGGACTTGCACGTAGCCTTCTCTGCTGTCCCCTTTCCTCCAGCTTCCTGGAAAGGAACGGAGACTCGCTAAACTCAGAGGAGCCACGTAGTCTCCCCACCAAGGGACAGCGGAGCGTGGAGGCCTCTCCCCTGATGCCCAAAGCTCTCCCCGCACCTCCTACAGAGGCCAGCACCTTCTCTAGGCAAGGACAGCAGAAATAGGTACATACTCCATCAGCTCTTCCTTGGAGGGAAAAGGCAGCCAGAGTAACCTAGACAATGTGAGAGAGACATGGGCATGGCGAGTGCTGGTGTGGCCTGATATGCTACATGTTACAAAGCATCGCCACGTGTGCGTCCTGGCATTTTTTATCTTCTAACAAGCTACCCTTGAGCTAGAGATTATTTTGATGCCCATTTTAGGGATGGAAAACATGATGTTTAGAAATGTTGGGACTGACCCAAGTTTACATGGCTAATCAACTGAGCTGAGACTAAAACAGAAGTCTTTGGGCTCAAATTCATCAGCCCTGGGTAAGTGGCCTTCCACCCCTCCCTCTTCCCACCTGCTCTTTGCCTACCCTACCCTTTCCTAGGCTGCTTTCCGAGAACATGCTCAGCCTCCTCCACCTTGGTTCATAGATGGGGGCACGGAAGTTAATCCGATGTTAGAAGCACATTGTCCTCTATGACTCTGAAGACCTAAATCTGCCGATATTTCCTCCTAATGACCTGAGAAAGGGCCCAAACGCCTACCTCCTCCCCAAGCCCGAGTTCAAATTGCAATCACTTACCCAGCTGCCACTCAGGGGAGCACATGGTTTTCAGCATCCAGATTGGCAGAGTGGGCTCCAGCATGGCCACCCCCATGTTGGCAAAGCAGAGAGAGCCTCGAGACAGAAAATCATTCCGTCTGTGAGCCACCCAACCCTGACCTGAAGAAGCCCAGCCTCTCCCAGACCAAAGCATGGGGAGCGCCTGCTTACCTGCAGCCACCAGGATATACGGGTCCTTAAGAAGTGTGAAGAGTGGGGTCCCCATGACCCTCTGGGGAACACAGAGAACAAACACTTAGATTTTGGATAATGTGCACCTCCTCTCTATTGTCATAGAACCTGAGACTATTCAGACGGGGCCTAAGCACCATCTACATCAGCTCCTTTACTACATTCAGTCACTACCATAGAGTCAATGCTGGCTCTTAGTGCCGCTTCATGGGTTTCCAAGACACAAGACCATAACTGTTAACAGGACTGGAAAGTCTAGTGTTTTTCCTGAAGAGCTGCTGGTGGTTTTGAACTGCCAACCAATGGGATCACTTCCCAATGTGTGACCACTATACCACCAGGACTCCTTTCCATAGTGATGAGAAAATCCAAGTCCAGAGAAGGAAAGTGGCTTTGCGTTGAACCATGTTTGAACTTGCTCAGTGCAGGTTAGTAAGTAAGCACAAGTAAGCCTGTGCTTACCTTCTTACCAGACACTCCATCCTTGTTGAAGATTGTAAGGTTGAAAAGAGGCTTTAATTCTATAGCAAAGTAGGGGTGGGCGGTGGGAAAGAGAGAGATGCCAGCCATACCTAAAGCAGACTCTTTGATGTGGTGAAAAATGTGAAACTGTTCATCGTGTTAGTTAATAAGCACAAATAAGCCTGTGTTTGCCTCACTTTCTGGGTAATCTGACACTGTCCAAGAGACAGAAAACGTGTAACACCAAGACACTGCAAAGTAGCAAGAAACTATGGCAGAGAAATGGGAGCAAGGGAACAAGGAGACCCACAGAAGACCGCAGAGTGGCTTCCTGGCGCACAGAGCAAGGCAGTTACCCTAGGTAACCACGGCAGTTACCCTGGGTAACCACCAAGAGAGAGAACTGAGTCCTGGGGCAAGAGACTTCCTGATGGAGTAGGGTGCCCCAGGCGCTAAGACACAGCTGTGTGAACACTTGCCCGAGCAGGCTGCGGCTAAGGCCAGCAAGAGGCTAGCCTGTGGGCATGGCTGGGAATATGCTGGTGTATCCTGGGTCATTCCTCATTCTGATTTTAAACTGCTACTTCCCGAATAAGCCCCCAAACAGTGAGTGTGGTCTGTGACGTGAGTTCTGTGTGACCATTACAATGAATTATTGAACCCAGCAGAGGGTACTATGATTGGAGTGGGGAGGGAGGGACAGCTGGTATCAAAATTTGTTAAAAGTTTGGAGGGTGGTGTTGATGGGATCAGGTATCAGGCATCAAAGACCCAGAACAAAAAATCATATCAATGTGATTGAGGAGGAGTGCAGAGTGGAGACCCAAAGTTCATCTGTAGACAATTGGACCATCCCCTTACATAAGCATCACAAGGAAGAAATGAGCCAGTCAGGGTGCAGTATAGCGCTGATTAAACATACAACTTTCCTCTAGTTCTTTAATGCTTCCTCCCCCCTCACCCACTATCATGATCCCAATTCTACCTTACAAATCCAGCTAGACCAGAGGATGTACACTGGTACAGATAGGAACGGGAAACACAGGGAATCCAGGACAGATAAACCCCTCAGGACCAATAATGAGAGTAGCGATACCAAGAGGGGAGGGTGGGGGGAGAAAGGGGGAACTGATCACAATGATCTACATATAGCCCCCTCCCTGGGGAATGGACAACAGAAAAGTGGGTGAAGGGAGACATCGGTCATTGTAAGACATGAAAAAATAATAATTTATAAATTATCAAGGTTTCATGTGGGAGGGAGGAGAAAAAAATGAGAAGCTGATACCAAGGGCTCAAGTAGAAAGAAAATGTTTTGAAAATGATGATGGCAATATATGCACAAATGTGCTTGACACAATGGATGTACGTATGGATTGTGATAAGAGCTGTTTGAGCCCCCAATAAAATGATTTTTTTTAAAAACGTTGGAAGCATAGCGATAGATCTGACCTCTAGTTAATAGGAATCAACCTTGGTTGATGTTGCTCTTGATTCTCCTCTCTCCTCCAGAAGTTAGAGGCGTTCTGATGCCACCAAGCCATTTTTACAGGAACTTTCTCTGGGAACCCAAGGACAGTTCTCACTTTCCCTTATTTTACTTCCTTTACCTTTTGTACTAAGGATGTTCTAGCGATGCTTGGTTCTCTGTACGTAGCCATTCTGTATATCTCTTAGCAACAAAGCTTGGTATTTACTTACCTCTGGGGAGACTTTTGAGGGCTGTAGAATGCAGAATTGTAGTGCTAAGAAAGACAGAGGGAGACAGCTTAGTGTTCCCACTGATTAGTGGGAGGCTCGTATAACCACCAGCCAGCAAACACTACCACTTATCCAACTCCCTGCATTTCTCCCTTCTCTCTTGGGGTGGGGCAGTCCTTGATGAATGAAAACATGCCCTCACCACCCCCTAATGCTAGTCAAGATACCACAGTGTGACCTGGGTTTTGAACTAGTTGTTACCCACACAGTAGCCTCTGATGAGGGCTTACCTCCATCCAGTACTGCCAGGAAGGCCAAGACGAGGAAGGGAGCAGACTTCCCAACAAACTCGTACATCACACTGCCAAAGGGAGCACCCACTGACAACACAAAGGAGAAACCAAAGGCAGATTTGAGGGCCAACTCGCAAGCAGTGTAGACTTACCAAGTGGAAAACATATTAAAGGCCAAAGGAATGATGTGAGCGATTTATTTTCACATGGTTTGGAGAAATAATGCTAACTAACCTGATTCATTCATTCATTATGTGGGGGTGACAGAGAGAGATCATGTACTGAAGGCTGCCTGGTCTACTTCCTCCCTCATCTCAGTGTGTTGTTCTATGGTCATTTACATGTTGCTATGAAACTGAAAACAATGATGCCAGTGGTTCAAATACCAAAACATCACCCATGTTAGTAGTTACACTTTGGGCTGCTAAACGTAAGGCCAGCTGTTCAAAACCACCAGCCACTCCTCGAGAGAAAGACCAGGCTTTCTACTCCTGTCAAGAGTTACAGTCTCAGAAAATCACAGGGGCGGTTCTACCCTGTCCTACAGGGTTTCTATGAGGCAGATGCCCGTGAGTTCTCTAGTTCTTCCAGACGAAGGCAGACTAGGAAAACGCCTGGCAATCCATGTCATACCATAAGTCAATGAAACCTGTCAGACTCGCAATAGAAGAAACAGTTTTGAAACCGATTGTGCTATCGATTGTCCAACACTGCTTGATGTGATTGAACTACAGAATGATAGGATGTCTGGATTAGCTCCTAATAAAATGGTTTGGAGGGGGAAAAAGAGTAGGAAATGAAAAATTCTTAGCTTCACTACCAAATAAGACTAAAGCGCTAAAAAAGAGAGAGAGAGAATCACAAAAAACTATTGTCTGATACAGTGCTAGGAGATGAGGCCTCACATTGGAAGACACTCAAAACACACAGTAGCCACAGCCATGGACTTGAACATACCAATGATTATGAAGAACATGTAGGACCAGGTAAAATGCCCTTCTGTTGGACATGGAGTCCCCATGGGTTGCCAAGCTAACTTGATGGCAGCTAACAGCAATAGCTAGGGCTTCTAGGAGCCCCCACATTCCCATTCTGGGAATTCAGAAAGGGAGATCTAGTCTCTGCACATAAGGAGCTCACCTTCTAGTGGAAGAAATATGTGTGTGACTGAACAGAGCAAGGACACGATGATTACACCACTCGATGAAAGAGCAAGAGAACTGAGTGAGAACCCCAAGGGAGCCACAAAGACTTTGCCAAAGTGAGGAACCCCGCAAAGGAAAGAGGCACGTGTGAGGAGCCCAGAGGTGTCCTCCAAGAGGGGGAAGTTGGAGGATGAAGAACCCAAGGTGGATCAGAGACTTGAATGTAAATCCCAAAGCTGTACAGGTCATCAGTGAGACAATGAGGACAAGCATAAGGGCCCTCTTAACCGGTACCGACACACTCCCCAACCTGATGGAGAAATAACGCACAGAAGACAAAATAGATGATGGGGACCTACTAACATTCAGTCACTGCCTACATCGAAAGATTTCATCAAAAGAGAAAAAGGAGACCCTACATAGTGGGGGGCTGAGGGGGGACCTTTGGTAACAATACGGACAAGGCACTAATCACTAAAACCTACAGAAAATGGCAATATCTCATTAAGAAAAAAAAGATTAATCCAATTTAAAAATATGAACTTTTTTTCAAAGAAAGTATCACTTAGTGATTGGCAGTTTGGGATTCAGTGCCTGTATCCTGTTGCGTGAACTATTTAACCTTCTGGTGTTATTATTTTACCAGTTTCATTGGCATATAACTCACATATCATATAGTTCAAGAATTTAAACATATTTTAAAAGTTGTGCAATCATCCCTACAATCCGTTTTAGAACATGGTCTTCTCCCTGTCCTCACTAGTATTAGCTTCCCCACCTCCCCTGCCCAAACCTCAAGAAACTATTAATCCAGTTACTGTGCCTATCGGTTTACTTCTCCTGGATTTCATCCATGGAAAATCAAAATACACAGGTACAGCTCAAATACAAAAAGGTTTTAAAAGTTAAAAACTCCAATATCAATAGCAAAATAAAACATAGAAAACCTCAGTTGAAAAGATAATAGAAAATAATAAAAACCAGAACCATTTAAAAATGGGCCAAAAGGGAGAACAAATGATAAGCTTATTTAACCTTTCTTATCCTCATCTCTACGATGAGGGCAGCAGTCATTTCTCCCTCGTAGAGTGGTGGTAAGGATTAAAGTCTGTACTCTGCTTAGTGCTAGAGCTGGTAAAAAGTACACTCTCATGGTTAAGGCCTTGGGTGTGCGCAGAGACAGAAGTGAAACAGACAGTGGTCACTTATGTCAGAAGTTGTGGTTTCTGTACTTCATCCACACCCTGATAGGCTGCTCAACTTCTTATAGAAAAAATAGGTTTTTGGTATGTGAATCATATGCCAACAAAAACTGTTGGGAGGGTGGACGGACTTTGCCTATCCTGGGTGCCTGCAAAGGACTCAGACCAGCATTGGAGCAGGGAGGGGAGGAAAGCTCTTGTTTCATATGGCCTTGGGAACATTTGCCTCAGGGTCATCTTTGGAGAATGTGCAGTAGTATCCTGCCCTCCTGAACCTAGCAGATCTAGGAACAGGTGCCACATACCCAGGACTCCCAAAGCCAGGCCTCCCAAGGCTATTCCCATGGCACGGCCCCTCTCACAGTCATCCTTGTAGACACTTGCCAGCATTCCAAGACCTGAAGAGAGAATGACAGATGGAGTTAGCACATGAAAGCACTCTCTCTGCCCCTCTAGCAGGGCCCTGGATCCTTGTCCTGGTGTATCTTAGAGTTTCCATTTAAGGGGCTTTATGAAACTTTACAAGAAACATGTTATAAATATGGCCCCCGCTGGTCCTCCAAATGCTCAAATTGCTCATTCCTTTTGTTCAGAATATCAAAGGACTTAGAAGAGCCAAGGCCTCTGGAAGGATACTATTTTCCAATTATACTAATAGTATACAATTATATTATACTAATAGTATACACAGAATACTATTTTCCAATTATATTATACTAATAGTATACACAGAATACTATTTTCCAATTATATTATACTAATAGTATACACAGAATACTATTTTACAATTATACTAATAGTATACACAGAATACTATTTTACAATTATACTAATAGTATACACAGAATACTATTTTACAATTATATTATACTAATAATATACACAGAATACTATTTTACAATTATATTATATTTCATATCATTTTGTGACTTCCCTAGCACATTTCCCTTAAAGAATGGAGTATGGGGAAGTTAGGGAAAGAAAAAACAATGAATACACAGCACTCTTCTATTTAATAGCCCAAGAGACAGCTTGACAAGTGCTGAGCCCCTAGCAGGGAACACAGGCTTGGTGATGAAAAGCCATTGGGATAGAGCAGAAAGTAGACAGTGCTCACTGCTGGCCTCACTGTGCAATTTTAGCCAAGTCACTTAAGCCCTCTCAGACACATGTGTTTATGCGCAAAACACAGGCAATAGATTTCATGGGACTAAAGGAAATAATGCACACGGCAGTGCTTTGCTAACTGTAATGATACTGTAGATACTACCTAGAAACAACTGTTTGTATAAAATGTTAAGAGAGGTACAGGGAAAGACCTTCGCATGGCACTGATTAAGAGCCAGGCGGACTTCATTGCTCTAGTCTTGCTCTGCCCGAGCTAGCTTTCTCTGAACACCACCAGTGGACATTGCGTGGGGCTTGGAGTTAAAGGACCTTGTCAGCAACACTTCATTTACGTGGCTTCTGAGCCACAAATCCTACTTAAACTAGGATGATATTTTCATTAATGTCCACAAACACTTCTCAGGGAACCCAAGGATAGTTTTGGTTAAGAGGTAGGTGTGTGTGTGTGTGTGTGTGTGTGTGTGTGTGTGTGTTTGCCATGTATGTGCACTAACTGCCCCATGTGTGCGTTTGGAAGACACCAGCGTTACCTGCAACAGATGAAAATGAAGATCCGATGCCTTGAATAGTCCTGGCCACAAAGAGGAGAGCATAGGTACCAGAAAACGCAAACACTGCGCAGAGAGAGCGGGGTGAATGTCAAGTTAGCACATTACCTTCCACCCTCCACCTCCACCTCCAGAAAACAGGCCCATTTTATTACAGACACAACCCATTAGGCGTATGTTGTTTAAAAGCACGATACCTGCTCCTTGTTTGGGGTGTTCTTCCTAATCCTCACCCCACCCCCACTTTGTAATTACCCTGAAGACTCAGAAACCACTTAGACAAAAACCAAGTCACACCACCGTCGACGGAAGGCTGAATCTCCCCATGTTTTTCAGTGAGCACTGGAAGCTGAGCATTCTGAACACTGGAATCAAGGCTAGCTACAGAGTTCAATACACTGGGCTAGGCAGTGGTCCTGAAAGGACTTCCAAACTTCCTTACACAACACCCAGATGGGTGCCCCCTTCGCACTTCAAGGGCTATAAGCATAGGATAGAAAGTACCATCTTGTGATCCAATAGACCCTTCCCCTTAGCTTAGTTTTGGAAGATCTTTTGGACAAATTTAACCAGTGGTATTTGTTAAGCAACAATTAGTATGCAGCTGTGTTGACTCTATAGGAGATATGAAACAAAGAAAGCATTTAGTTCACACTCTTGAAAAGATTCAGGGTATTAGAGACTAACGTACCAGGAGGCTTCAAAAAGCTTGTGGGGGGAAAAAATACATTGTTTTTCCATTCTGTGTTTCCACAAACTTTTTGACGCCCTCATACATGAAACAAATTACCAAGCAGGTTGTTAGTCCGTATCAAGAACTAAATTACAGGGTTCTGAAGGCAGACGCTTGAGTCTAGACACAGCTCACCTCCAATTTCAAAACAGTATCTCCTAAAGAGAAAAACACACTGCCAATGGGTCTGAATCAGCAGAAGTCTCACCTCTTCCCTCCTTCATTATAGATGTGCTTGGTTGTGTTTATAATCTTCTCCCATTACTTTCTGACCGTGCACCCCTCATTTCTTCCTAAGCAGGCACATTCTTCGTTTCTCTTTTTCTGGCCCCAATGTCCCCTCTCAGGATTTCTGGTTTCTGATCTATCCAAGGTCTACTATCCTTATATCTTTGAAAATCCTGTGACCAACTTCTCCCTGTTTGTGCTGGAATTTCCCAGTTTTAGAACCAAAAGTTCTGCACCCGGAGAAGCCCCAGGGAAAACGGAATGATTCGTCACCCTTTTCAGAAAGAACAAAGTATTGTCCCTTTCACTTTGCAACCCTAAATGGATCACCATTTATCTATTAATTATATTAAGGGTTATTTGAAGCTGGGGGGACTTTTAGGCAATAATAGGACCTACAGCTTTTTTTCTCCTTTTAAAATTATATTTTATTGTGTGTCCATGAAGTTTTAACAGCTATTTAGGTGCCTATTCAACCGTTTCTATACAATTTGTTCAATGTCATGAGTTACAGTCTTCATAATGCAGGAACCTCATTACTTCCCTTCTGGTTGTTTTGTTTCCATTAACCACGCTTCCTGCCCCTTCTCATATTTGTTCTCAAGTTATTGTTTGCCATTTGATCTTATATTGTGATTTTTTTTTGATAGAACATAGTACTTGCGGATGATAATCATTTTTTAACCAATTTGTTATTTATCTACAAGATGGCCCCTGGGATTCGTTTTAATTCATGGTTTGAAAAATATCTCCGAGAGATCGTTTCAGAGTGTCTTCCATTGGACCCAGTCTAGCAGGTCTGGTTTTTATTTCTTTCTTAGGAAATCGAAGGTCGGTTGCACGTCCCCCTCCCCTTCTGCCAGGCTCTATCTACTGTGGCTCGACTAGAAGAGACAGTGGTGGTAGCCGGGCCCCAGGCCGCTCCTCTGTCCTCAGTTGTGGTTTTCATCAGAGAAAGGGATGTGACCCTCCGCTCCCTGTCTGTTGCCTTCTGATGTCTTCTTTGACGAAGTATCTGCTTATGGATTTTTCTTGGTTCATGATTAGGTGATTTTCTGTTTAGTCTTAAGTTATGAAGTTTTCTATCTGTTTTAGGTCTTAGAAGCTTATCAGTTAGGGGATCCCCAAATATTTTTCCAGTCTATAAATGTTCCCTTTAGTCTTTTGATAAAATCTGTTGATGAACATATAAATATTTAGCTTTTATGGGGTCCCAGGTATCTATTTGTTTCATTGTATTCATTCTATCAGCAACTTCTTCACAATATTTAAAACTGCCTTAGGGTATGCTAAACACCAAATGTGCTTGCTTTGTGCTAGAAATGGGAAAATGCATAGCAACACCGGTTACTTCTTGAGAACAATTGTTATGACTCAATAAAAACAATTGGGTAGAAAAGAAAACAAATTCAAACTCTTGAGTTCTTGGCAGAAATTAGAAATACTAGACAAGGTCCTTGGTAGTAAAGAAGTTAGGGCCCAACGTGGCACAGGTCACCATTGAGTCAACAGACTCGTAGTGACCCTCAAGGACAAACTAGAACTGCCAGAGGACAAACTCTGGATTTCCAAGAAACTCTTCATGGGAGGAAGAAGTCTCCTTTTTCTCTCAAGGAGCAGCTGGTGGTCCCGAACCACTGACTTTATGGTTTGAAGTACAACATGTAACCCACTACACCATGAGCCCAGGTAGCATAGTAGCCATATGTTGGGCCTCTTACTGGAAAGTCGGAAGTTTCAAGCCACCAGCCGCTCTGAGGGAGAATGATGGGACTTTCTTCTCCTGCGAAGAGTTAGTCTCGGAAACTCACAAGGGCAGTTCTACCCTGTCCTATAGGGTCACTATGGGGTGGCATCAAGTGGATGGCAGGGAGTTATTAGCATACAATCTGCATTATCTTGTCTCTCAGGGTGCTCCCCAGGTCTCCCCAGACAAGCTTTACAAGCTCCTGGATATCCATAATTGTGTCTTTAAGTTCTATATGTGTTCTCAGTGAACACTGGCATCAAAGCATAGTATATGTGCACCATGAAGTCTTTGGGAATGAATCTGAAGTGAAATAGAACACCTTAAGCATTTTCAACGCCCTCTTTAGGATGGTCTGAGCTTCTACAAGTTAAAGAGCATCTCTAATGAAGTTCCTCATTCCTTGTGATTTGGTTAGAATTTTCACAAATACACTGTTATGCTCAGACAAGAGAACTTAAATATCTCTAGCCCCTGAACTTCTCATCCTTTCATCCTTGTCTGGAACAAATTCACGTTCAACCTTGTTGATAGGCATCAAGTCCGATGCTGGGAGGAAAGAACGCTTGAAGAAGAAGAATAGAAAACCAAGTACTTGACAGAAAGGCAGCAAGTACAACAAGAGGGAGGACGCATATTGTTGGGAGAAGAGAATCAGCAGAGCTCTCAGGAGCCAAAGACAGATGGGTAGGGTGCTTTCCCAAACTCGCCGTTTGACGCCCCTCCCCTTTCATTTCTTCATCTTTTCCTTCTCAAGCTCACTTTCAAGGTTCATTTTTCTTACTTACTCTTCTTATTCCAGCTCGGTTTTATTAGGAAAATTTAGCAGATACTGCGTCTATTTGACTTTCTCTTTCTGGTTTCCTTAGCAGATTTACTTTCCTAAGCCATTACCCCTCAAGTTCTTCACTTGAAGGCAGGAGATATTTTGGAATTTTCAGGTTGCTATCGTCCGGCTGTATTCTTTATTAGGTGCTCTTTGCCTTTTCATATCTAGTCATGTGGCCTCTTCCTCGAGAACGTTTTATTAAATTCACCCAAAACAGTATTGCTATGTGCACACACACACTCTAGTAGAAGACGTATTAAAATCATCTCAATGTTTCCCCGGCTGAAGAAAGAGAAGTGTAAGTTCTCCTGTAGCCGAAGAGATAAATTCCAACTAGACAGACTTGCCAAGCTTGGAAGCTCGACTACTGCTCGATTCTGTATTCCCAAAAACATAGAAAGGAAAACATTTAAATTAAATGTCACAGGCCACTTAATGCCTAACTGCTGTTGGAGAAACTGCCTCTACCAGCGGAATATAGAGCGCATGACAAAATCAAGGGAAACAGTGAAGAAGGAAGGGGGAACTCCAACTACTTACTAATTGTGGAGAAGAACATGATAACAAAGCCAGCAAACATGGGAATGTGATATCCAATCCTAAAAGGGAATTCAAAAAAAGAAGATTCCATTTGAATAGGCATTCATACCCTTGGGTTCTAGTTTGTAACACAAGTGGGAACAGAATGCAGTTGAGAGCCTGGTAAAACAGGTCTCCGAATGCAGATGGAGAGATGGGAGGGGACAAGACTGAATGCAAGCAAACAAGCAAATGTACAACTGTATCCAGCGTCCCGGGACAAAATAATCTTTTCCAGAAGGATAACCTCGCCACACTGTGTATCCCTTTGGAACAGCAGGACAGTCTCAGCGACCACTAGTAGAAAACCAGGGCTCTGGATTGCGGGACAGCTGCCCCCTCCCATCCTCGCATCATTGAAGCCGCGATGTGTACAACGTGGGCTGCTCACTGGTTCTCTTCATGGTAACCAGTCCGCATGGCATCACTAAGGAAATTTGGAGGCCAGGGCACATCCTCAATACCATGTGATCCTTTCAAGTCACCAGCTTTCCAAGCAGCTAACTCCCCTGGGAACCCAACAAATCATTGTCCCTTCTTTCCCTCCTCCTAACCACCCCAATGAAATCTCCGTCCATCCTCTCGCGCCTGGGTCCTTAAGTACACTGTGGACCTTTGCACCCAAGATACCTGTTAGTGAGAGGCCCCACAAATGGGTTGACCAGAAGTTGCATCAGAGCCTTTGACGCAAACAGAATCCCAACTCGTGTGTTCTCTTCCTCCAAGAAGTCCGTGCCTTGCAAGCAGTTCTGTGTGTGTGCTGAGAGAGCGTCAGGGGCTGGAGGGGGTGGGGTGCCAGGCGTGCCATTCATCCAGGCACCGGGCCCACTTTCTTCAAAGGCCACGGTGCTGTTGTCAAAGAAGGAGAAGATGGTGGAGAAGGTAGACGAGGTGAGGGCATGCTGGGGAGTCATGGCCGGGCCCAGGCGCTGAGAAGCGTTGATTTGGCTGAACTCTGTGACGTATAGAAAGGTGGGCACAATGGGCACTGAAAGTCAAGAAGGATAACAGATGAGGGTTAAAAGGACATTGTCTTTGTACCACTACTGGGTACGGGGACGTTTCTATGAGGCCCCTTTTTATGTTCAAGAAAAGTATCTAAGTGGTTTAAGTGGAAGCCAACCAAAAGACCGTGCCTGCACAATTATCCCATTGGCCAAAATTCCCAAGGATTCGTTGGGTGGTATGAACCGTTCCCATGCACAGCTGCTAAGCAAAAAGTTGGACAGTCCTGCCCACCCAGAGGTGCCTCCGAAGAAAGGTCTGGTGATCAGCTTTTGGAAAAGTCCCCCTGGAAAACCACATGGAGTCCAGTTCCACTCTGATACCCCTGGGATCACCACAGGTCAGAGGCCACTTGATCGCAACTCATTTTCCAGTTCCTAAAACCCAACCATCTATCGGATTTATAACTTGTCTCAGGAAGATTCATCTTTAAAACTTACGTCTTGGTCAGGTGGAATAACATGTTAGTACCAATTACATAATTGGCATAACTTAATGTAAAAATCAATGGACTCTCAACGCAAACAACAGCGCTTTGGAGAAATGAAACACTACATAGGCAGGCTTGGATCAGGAGTGGTAGCGCCAGTATGAAGAATGTGATTTGGGGAGCGGAGAGACTGGAAAGATAACAGTGGGGAGATGCTCAGTGGCTTGGAGGACACTTAGAATCGTTCAGCAAAGGGGGAAATATTAGAGGGAGGAAGCAGAGGCTGGCCTAGTTCTGGTACCAGCCCATCCTCTTTTCTGACCAGATACTCTCTGAAATGCCTGCTCTTTGAACTCCTGGGACCTTTAGCAATGCTTGGGAAGCTTCGGACTCCATTTCCTGCTCCCTCCCTCAACCTCCAGCAACCTCTATGTATATCTGAGTATAGAATGGATATGTCTCAAGTCCATCCATTACTGAAATCTAGCAGGGTGCAAGTGCTGCCTAGTGGGGCCCAAAGTAAATTAAATTAGCCTTCAACGCAAAGACCCCTGCACGTACCCACCACAGTCAGCAGCATGTTGTCCAAAAGCAGAGCCACACATACCACCAGCAGCACCAGCTGCCGGGACTCTCTCCCTTCCTTCAGCATCCGCCGGGGACCTTCTAGAACCATCCGAAACATGGTGCGGCCTGGGTTGGGGGTATCTTCTCCTCCAGATTTCAGGACTACAGATCTTCTACTGCCTTTTTAAAAGAGGAGACAACATTCACCAAAGACAAGTGAAACTCAGTATGAAGAAATTGCAAGTGGTAGCAGTAATAAGATGCGTTTTAGAAGCTGTTCAATTCCTGAGTCTCCACTCACGTATTATAAACCCCAAAGCCAAACCCATTGCTTTCTAGTTGGTTCCAATTCATAGCAACCCCGTGTGTTACAGATTAGAACTACTCCACCCAGTTTTTTTAGTGGCTATCTTCTTATGGGAAAATCCCTGAGTGGTACAAATGATTTGCAATCAATTATCAACATAAAGATTGGTGATGTGAATCTACCCAGAGGTGCTAAGAAAGAAGGTTCTGGTGGCCTGCTACCATAATCATTACCAACAAGGAAACCCCATGAAGCAACTGTATCCTGTACCCTGAGGGTCCCCATAATTTGAAAGGGACTTGATGGCAGCAGATGAGCTTATGGAATTAGATACCCCAGCCTTCCTTCTGTGGTCTCACTGGGTAAATCCGAACTGCCGACCTTTCTGTTCATTCCAAGCACCAACTATGTGCACCACTTAGACATCTCAATAACTCTACCTTGTCCCTAGAATGCCTGTGTAGAGGGGAGGTGGGAGGGGGTGGAAATCAATTTGGTCTATTGTCGTTTCTGAAAATAGCCAGACAACACTTAAACATGTGTAAATGAGTAAGAACTACATAGAGCCCCCCTGTCATGAAGAGCTATGGGGAGGGGCAGCATAACACACACAGCCATGCGTGCACATTCATTAACTGAATCAAGCAATAAGGCCACAGTCATGCAATTTCATTGAGACCCCACTGACTAAGGGATGCTGAGCCCTAGATGTCTGTTTTCACAGGACTTCCCGCCATGAAAGAACATCTATACACAACAGAGTGTGGCGTGTCTTTAGGGACAGTGGAAGTCTCATGCAGTGACCACCCCTTCGTGTGTCTCTTCGCTTCTGTCCTTTCCTGTTATGATACATGAGTGATGACAGGAATAGGTCATCTCTGTGAGTTCTGAGCCATTCTAGAAAATTTCTTGAACCTACCAAAGGTAGTCAGAGCAAGAAGACAGGGTGGCTTGTGCCTACTAGTTTAAGACTGGAAGAACAGAGTTCTAACTTGTAGGCGGTGAGGGACAGAAAGAGTGCCACGTGAGTAGCGAGTGTCAAGAGGGTACAAAAGGGAAGTGGGGTGACACCTTAGCTCCACATTTTGGAAATTGGCCTCATGTCCATTACTGTTAACATGGGACCTATTGCTTACCGGTTATACCTTGAATTTTCTTTAGCATCAAGTGAAAAAGCATTCTACAGATGTTCTAGCCTCAAACTGTACATATTTGCCCATCACCTGGATGGGTCTATCCAAGGACCATATAGAATATTATTTACTTAATCTTATCCTTTGAGTCTACTCATTTTCAAAATGGAAATAACTTCTAAGTAGCTTATGTACCCTGGAGGGGATGGCGTATGCACCACCCAAAATATCTCATGGGCCAAAGTGCCACTCACTCCCATCACCCACTGGAAAACATTGAGCTAGGACAACAGTCAACTGTTTGAGGATCAAAGAGCCAATCCTGTCCCTCACAATGATTTAAAAATTATTCCAGAGACATAACTATATTTTTACAAACAAACGAAATCAACATTGCCTGAATAATATCCTGTAAATGAAACTAGGATAGTTTTGTTTTCAATTTTACTTCAGAGCCATATGTATGGGTCAAAAGAGCCCCATGTGGCTTGAGGGCTGCATTTTGCTGACCCCTGACCTTGACCAACCCTTTCATCTCAAAGATGAGAAAGCAGAGGCCTGGGTGTTGTGTTTGCCTTAGATCACACGATTAGTGTGATCCAATTGAGATCCAATTGAGCATTTTAACTTGCAGACTTGTACACCAGCAGCTTGCCTTGCTCTGTATTGTTGGTCCAATCTATGCTCCCTGACTCAGAAAGAGCTGTTACTTTATCTAAATCGAATGTGAACTTTCAAATTATTCTTCTTATTTGGGTTTTATATTCTTAGGTCCTGCTCAATTTCAAGTATAACAGCTCCTGGGAAGAATTTCATTTTCTTTTTCTGTGGCTTCTGTTAGGACGTTAACAATATCAATCATTTAAATTTTTAGATACTTTACTATCTTGAACCATATCAGGCCCTAGAAAATTGTATATCCCTGATTCAGTAACTACCTCTAGGAAACTATCCTAAGGAAAATATCAGAGACAAAGACAAAGATTGATGCTCAAAATAATGGTTGCTGAATTATTTATATAGTGAAAAAAAAAAAAGCTCACCTAAACATCTACCAATAACTAACTGATTTAATAGATATGCAGAGCAGTTTAGTAAGCAGCTCTTAAAAATCATGTTTTCAAATAATGTTAATGACTTAGAAAATACAATATAAAGTATGTAAGAAAAAGGTACTCAACTATTTATAGAGGGCCTCAATTATGTTAAATATATATACAGGTGCACATTTTCAAAAGACTAAAAAGACACATCAAATTGTCAGTCATTTATAATCAATGACATAAATCATTTTCTTTTTCCTTTCCTATAATTTCTAAATACTCCATAATTAACTACTTTTATAATCCAGGAAATAAACATTTTTAAGTGATTTTTCTGGAGTTCAATGGTCCTGGTGGATGTGTGCCATTGAGCTGATTCAGACTCAAAGCAAGCACACATAGCAAAGCAAAACTGCCCCATAGTGTTTTCTAGCCCCATAAAGAGCTAGTCTCAGAACCCTATAGGGGCAGTTCTACTCTGTCCTATAGGGTCTCTATGAGTTGAAATTGATTCAATGGCAGTGAATTTTGTTTCTGAGAAAATGTTTATTGGAGCAAATTGCTGGAGCTCTTTCCTACAGAGCTGAAGCTACGAGTAAGTTCGAACCACCGATCTTTTGGTAGCAGCTGAACACCTAACACATCTGCTTCTCCAATATTTGAAATAACACAAGTACTGAGTTTCTCTGTTGTAAACCCAGCTGCTCTGTTGAATACCATCCATGCTGCACTTCTACATGACCCAAAAGATCTCAAGGGGACCAGGTGTCCTGGTAAGATTTAACCAGAAAATGTATGTAATCATTTAAGACCCTCCATTCCTTTGTAAAAGCAAGATATTGCAAAACATAGTTCTATTTAACTGTAAAGAAGAAAATGAGATGAGACTAGGAGGAGAGCAATGGAAAACCAAAAGATATAAAATGGAACCAAGTGAGGGATACAGGCAAAGAAAACAAGCAAGATTTGGCCAACAAATCAGCAGTCAAACTGTGTCTTTTGGTCAAAAGTCTCTGGTGAGAGAGACACGGATTACAAGGAGGGATTACATTTGTCCAGAGAGAAAAATCTTACCTTACAGCACACACATCTTGGTGGAAGGCACTCACTGAAGCAGCTGTTAGCAGGAACCTGTTTTCTGAAACTGGATGTGTGGATGGATTTATTACCATCTGTTATCTGAGGATACCATGCCTGCCCTTTGTCTACAAAGATTTAATTGGAACCTCCAACAGGTTCCATTCAGACCCTTAGTTTCCTGCGTCAGAGGCGGGAAGATAGAGCTAGAGAGGGGAGAAATTACCCTAAGCAAAGATGCATTGGGCTGTGCTGTTTTTCATCTGTGCTTATCTACCATCAAGCTCTTTAACTCTGTCCTGGAACATAATACAAATTGGAAGGCATTGCTAAACCAGAATGTAACTCCTCTCCCTTGTTACTTAGTGAAAGAGGTTCCATATTCCCCAATTGCTTCCTGTAAAGAAACAGATCTTAAAACACTTATAGGGCAACAATAAATCTATGATCATTGTGTTCAAGCCATAAAAATCCCATGGCAGTAGCAACGATAAAGGCATAGATGTGTGCTTGCCATCTTCACATCCTAAAGCTAGCTCAATGCCTGGCACAGAGTAGCCACGTATACATAATCCCTGTGGAGATGACTGAATGAAAGAGTATGGCTCATTGTGGGGTCAAGGGCTGGCGCTTTGGAGCTATATTACTCTGGCACTAAGAGTCATCAATGAGGAAAAGAATATGAACCATTGACTGAAAAGCAAATACAATCAAAGAGCAAGGGAGCAGCAATGTCTTCCTGTGTGTGGAATTGATGTGTCCATGAGGTCCTCCTAACTGTATGAATTAATTTAAGGACTTTCCATTGAGGTCTACAAAAAGAATAGAATAGACATGGAAAAACAAGGGGAGAAAACAATATTAGAGAAGTACTCATTTCTCTTTTTTTTTAAATCATTTTATTAGGGGCTCATACAACTCTTATCACAATCCATACATCCATTGTTTCAAACACATTTATACATTCGTTGCCCTCATCATTCTCAAAACATTTGCTCTCCACTTAAGTCCTTGGCATCGGCTCCTCATTTTCCCCCTCCTTCCTCCCTACCCCCTCCCTGAACCCTTGGTAATTTATAAATTATGATTTTGTCATATCTTACACTGTCCAAAATCTCCCTTCACCCACTTTTCTGTTGTCCGTCCCCCAGGAAGGAGGTTATATGTAGATCCCTGTAATTGGTTCCCCCTTCCCATTCCACCCTTCCTCCAAAGGGATCATCTGTCCTGGATTCCCTGTGTTTCCTGTTCCTATCTGTACCAGTGTACATCCTCTGGTCTAGCCAGATTTGTAAGGTAGAATTGGGATCATGATAGTGAGGAGGTAGGGGGAAACTTTTAGGAACTAGAGGAAAGTTGTGTGCTTCATCATTGCTATACTACACCCTGACTGACTCATCTCCTCCCCGTGACCCTTCCATAAGGGGATGTCCAGTTGCCTACAGATGCACTTTGAGTCCCCACTCCGCACTCCCCCTCATTCACAATGATATGATTTTTTTTTTCCTATGATGCTTGATACCTGATCCCTTCAACACCTCATGATCACACAGGCTGG